GGTTATGGTTACACTTCATTGATTATGGTTTCGATAGGTTATGGTTATACAATCACACAATTATCACAAGGGGAGAGGAGAGTGGAAAAGAACGTGCAGGAAAAAAAAGGATAATTATGACTAATTAAAATAAAATAAAATTTATAAAATTAATTAATTACATTACTGCCCTTATTAATTTATTTATATTTAATATAAGTTAATTTATTAATTAAAAAAGTTTGAGGTTATTAGATTGTTCTCGCATTCTCGTAAATCACAGGGGTTCTCGTTTGAACCTCCACCTATATATATATAGGAAGACTTTGAATATATATAGATAGATGAAGTCGTTGAAGGAGAAGTATGTGGCTTCAAATACAATACAAGCTTGTGGATATCAATATAAAGCCTACTTATCTTCAATTTTCTTTAAATCCATCGTAAACTGAATATCGCGAACATGAACATGAACATGAACATGAACATGAACATGATGATGAAGATGAAGATGATGTTAGTTTTGCTTTATCTTATCAATCATCTTGATGCATCTCCGGTTTATTTTCACGGTCGATCATCATTAGCATTAGAGTGGCCTAAAGGATTAGAAAAGCCTAGGGAGAATCCTTTACCAAACTCACGACCCTCTTCTGATCCTATTGGTCCAAAGTCAATACCCGTTCATGATCCTACTGTTCCTCGTCCTCCTATGTACAAGATGGTTCCTCCTCCTATCTACAGGCCGCCTCCTATGGAGCACCTCACCACCAATCCACATGATCCGTACGCAAACCCCACTCCTTCTGATAGAACTACACGTCTTCGTGCTCGCTCTTGTAAAATTGCTTGTAAAAGGGTTATTGATCTTGCTGTTGCTCAAACTGGTGCTCCACCTGATGATAGTTGTTGGGCAGAAATCGGCAAGGCTGCTGTTGAACAGCTTTGCACTGATACTTGTAATCAGAAAAAAAGTGAGATTCAGCCTATTCTTGTTACAGCTGGTAAGGCCGCTTTTGATGCTTGTGCCAATTCTGGCGCTGATCCTCCTGCTGTTGCTCCTGCAGACGCGGATTTCCCTTAAGCATGGAAACTATATATATATATATATATATATATATATATATATATATATATATATATATATATATATATGTGTGTGTGTGTGTGTGTTAGGTTAGGTACATTTTTTCTCAACTTTAATGGCCTCATATAGTTAAATATCATCTTAAATAAAAAGGACATTTTTAGGCGTCTAATTCACATTAATCGTGAGGTACTTTGACGTAAAAATATATATATATATATATATATATATATATATATATATATATTTGTGTTTATCAAATTCCCCCACACTTAGATCATTGTCCGTCCCGGCAATGACTTAAGTTAACACGTAATTATAAAAATCGAATCTAACGAGGATGTGAATTAGACGCCTAAAAATGTCCTTTTTATTTAAGATGATATTTAACTAAGATGATATTTGACGGGTGTCGAGTCCGGCAAATAATATAATTTATGAAATATAAGCCTATTATCTCTTATACACACTTGTGATAGCGATAAGTAGGGTCGTCTCCTCAGGGACTCGAAGTTAACCGTAAGTCCAAGACGTAACCGCGTGCAAATTCATTGACATTAAAACAATATATAAAAAGGGGGGGTTGGAAGATTTATAAAAAGCCTAAATATGCAAAATAAATTGGAAGCTTTAAACAATAATAAGAACGAGACTAGTAATGAGCATAAATCAACTAATCATTTGGATTATATATCATCGACTCGTTTAAATAAATACTTTCTCGATAGAATTCAGTTTGGCGTGAACATTAAACACGCGCCAATGCCTCATTTGTTACAAAAGCACGATTAGTATAAAACGTTTTACAACTAATCTCTAATTAGCTAATCTAGTCTAGTCAAGGACTTAGAGTTCAATTGATAATCGCATTAGGACCAACAAATACCAAACCTAACCAACAATCGGACGCCGATTATTTGGGTTAGATTGTACAACCTTACGACACTTGCAACCAACACTCACGCATCAATTGAGTATCGACTGCTACTCCAAGAAATCTAAGAACAATTACGTATTCAAAAATTCCTCTAGCATAACGAGTTCAAATCAGAAAAAGCAAGGGATCCAACTTACAAATTCCAACTTAAAATGTATAGGACTGAAATTCAAAGGCTGTACAAATAAATTCAATCGATTGTGGAACAAAATTGAGTCTCAACTCATCCAAATTTCAAGTCAATTATATACCCATTACTAGAAATAAAAATTAACTACTCATGTCTGAAATATATAGAGTCATGTACCTATTGAAATCGAGAGAAATTAACAAGGAACCTGGGAAATTATCTTCAAAAAAATTGCTCCTTGAATCTGGAATTCGGTCCTTGTGTTCTGCCCTTTTCAATCGGCACCCTCTCCTTCTCAGCCTCTTCCTCTCGTCTTCTACCTTCAACCGAACAGCCCTTTCCTCGTGACCGACTTCTCTTGCCTCCACCTGCTGTCTCCTTCTCGACTGCTTCCTAATCGAACAGCTTCTAGTCTCACTCGGTTTTTGTTTGCTGCTCTCTATCGACAGCTCTCGTCCTCTCTTTTTCTCTCAAACGACAGCCGGCTGCTGCCTCTCCCCTCTCAATCGACAGCCTCTGTATGCTGTCCCTCTTTCGGTTGCTTCTGTACCGACAGCCCCTATCGACAGCTCGTACTCGCCCATGATCTCCTGCTCTCGCTGCCCACGATCTCCTGTTGCACGACCTCTCTCTCGCTGCCCACGTCTCTCGCTCTGTTTCTGATTTGGGCTGCTGTTGTGGGTTGTTTCTCTTCTTCCTTGATGGCTTGGGCTGCTGGCTTGGGTAAGAAAACTTGGGCTGCTGCTATGGGCCAAGAAACACATAAGTAACACATTTTTTCTCAACTTTAATGGCCTTATATAGTTAAATATCATCTTAAATAAAAAGGACATTTTTAGGCGTCTAATTCACATTAATCGTGAGGTACTTTGACGTAAAAGTATATATATATTTGTGTTTATCATTCTCCATGAATAATTGTATCAGATTCTATGCCTATATAGTTATACACACATTATATATATATAGTAACTCGGCTGATCTTATTGTGCGACGGTTATAAGGATTTCCCGCCTAAACATGTATGTAGACACAACTTACATTACATTACTGGTTCAAATGGGCCTATTTAGTTGACATTTGTCCCTGTAAACATAATTGATTTTCGTACGAAAAGAGATTTCTTTTCAAAGACTTAAATAAGCAAAAGTATGGATTTCCATTCCCATACTTATAAGTCTGATCTCTACAACATCACCTTTATTACAAGAAATTTGTAAATTACGTTTTGTTGTTGCATTTGCTACACATGTATCTTTTATCCCCATATACATTGCATAAGAAATGACCATATTCACATAGGAGGAGGAGGAGCACAAGGAAGTTTACAAGCACGGGTACGTACCCCTTGGAACAGGTCGAGTAACATCAGGGCGATTACGAATGGGGAAACCTTGACCACTGTGAGGTAGATGATTAAACGTCAGTAATGAAAGTAAGCACCATCCGTTAAGTACAGGTTTTCTATCTTTCGTTTGTGTTCACAATAAATTGTTTAATTTTATTTAACTGCTTTACTTAAACTATGCCCGTTAATTATAGGTTAAAGTCATTTTGTTTCAATTGAGCATTCGTATCTTAATAATATAAAAAGCATCTACGTTAACGGGAGCTTTCAGATATTTAAATTGAACTATGTTCTCGAAGTTATGGATCTAGATTGTGTGTTAAGGGATCAACGTCTACTCTTAACGAAAAGAGCACGACTATGACTAAAGAAAAACGATTTTTCGATTGGTGGAAGTGACCAAACCGCACGTCGTTAATGATCATCAAGACTTTTCGCTTTTTGTGGCCATTCGAGGAGCAACCGTAGAATCTAGTTTAGTTCGAATATTTTGTCGATCAACAATTTAATGGTACATGAAAGACTAATGCTAGTACCGGAATACTTAAATGGAGAAGTCCAACACTACTAGAATCATGACTTTCACTTACGAGAATTATCGACATACAGAATCTGTCAGTGATTTTCGACGGATCACTGACAGAAATCGACTGCGGCAACTTTTCCCGACCACAAATCATCACCACTTATTTACATGATAAGTCGCTAGGCATAAACATATATCATGTATTAATTAATTAACATATATTAATTTGTTTCACAATGTGTTTGTTTCATATGTATTCATGTCAAGCAGATGAAAAATCCAACGATTTTTATAAAATTGTTCGTAAATTGGATATATATATATAGAGAGGGGAGGGGAGGGGAGGGGGGGGGGGGGTCATGCGAGGAGCCGGTCAACTTACAAGAAATGTGATAAGGGTTAAATCACATGTGATTTCAGAGCAAAATCATATGCTATACAACATGTCTAAAATGTGCGATTGGTCAACACGACCAAGCTCGCGTGAAAACTCACACGTGTAACTCATTATTTATTGAATCATAACACTAAAGCATAAAAAAATAACCACAAGGGTGGTGCCGGATTGGTTTGAGCTTGGCTCCAAAGGTCAAAAGTACCCGGAGGTTCCAGGTTCAAATTCAATGAGGAATAAAAATCCCCTTGTGGCCACGGAGGTTCAAATGCGGTGATTCCGGGCTATCTGCAAAGCAGGTGATCGTCCTGGAATTAGTCGGATCATATAGTGGGTTGGATATCCAGGTTAATAAAAAAAACATAAAAAAATTTAACGAGCAAAATAATTTGTTGAGACTGTTTATTCAACGAAACAAACAACCAACAAATTTTTACACACAAACAGAAAACAACCATAATACAACAAACAACCATTGTCATTTGTCACACTTCAGACAGAAAAACAACAACCAAACCGACAAACGTCGAACAACATATATCATAATCGAAAAGACAACCATACGAATACGATATGCAGCAGCCACCACGCGCGTACGACCTTGAGTTTAAGGAGGACCGACGCTGTCTTCAGGAGCAGGAGCAGGAGCAACAACGCTAATATGATTTGCAGCAATAAAATAACGCATAGCAGCAGGGCACGACCACGACCATGACCATGACCATGAACATGCTTGGGAGGGATTAATTGATCCCAATGAGGAATAATATTACCACGTGAACCCAGGTGTTGAATGGGCTTCGGTGCAACTAATTGATTCGGATCATTAAGATAATTACCGGCCGGGAAGTTATGAACATCGGCACAATGAGGAGCTTGATCCTGTTGAGGATTTGGCGGACCCTGGAAATAACCGTAAATATTCTGACCATTGTCAATGGCTGCCTCGGTACCATCAATGACTGTCTCCGTCTTTACGCGGCCCTTAAAGAGTGCACTTGATCTGTGGATCAGGTAAAGCGACAACAATACCAAAACTAGCATCATCTTCATCTTGTTCGCCTGCATTCGATTAAAATTTCGTAGAAAAAAGTACTTTGTTAGTGGAGGTTTACATGAGTCGACATACGTTAACTCTTTTTTTTTTTTTTTACGATAACGTGATCAACAGTAAACAAGTGAGCCAAGGCCCGTGTTTAACACACGATAAGTGTCCTTAAAACAGATTCGCCTCAAACGATGCGTTTGTTTTCCAGGATACAACGACGTATGCACACGCCTCAATTGTGATGCATTATTTCTTAGTTTCTTCCAAAATTATAATGTCCCATATCAATATTTTTTTTCATGAAATGTCTTAATTATATATATATATATATATATGTGTGTGTGTGTGTGTGTGTGTGTGTGTATGTATATATATATATATTAAAAATATTATACGTCTTTGACCTCCGAAGTACTTTTAGACTGATCGAGTCTAATTAAGTTAATGAATTAGAACTGTCATATATTTTCTTTACTTTTAAACTAGTGTGCAGTTTCAGGGTCTTCGATAGTTTATTATTCTGTATCACTTTTTTACACCGATCAACAGTGTCGCCACTCAGGCACTCATTATATGTTGCATTTGATACATAATAAACCTTTCATTTGTCACATAATATGGTTATTGATAAATTTAGGGGTTGTTTATCAAATGCTTATTGGGTATGTGCTTACTAGCAATAGTCACCATCATCATTTATGTATCATCTAACATTATCAACCATCAAATGGATTGTTGATAAGCGTTTTAGCCGATAAACACTAACCGGGTAAGACTGTAAGAGTCTTCTCCCAGACTTATCAGGAAAGATTTCAGTCACTGTTATACCTCTTACTGATTAAGATTCTCGATCTTTGTCATTCTCACGCATTAAGATAAGYAACCCTAGTAAGAGCTTAAYCGGTAAGCGTTCGGTAAACARCCCCTAAGTTYAGGAAATACGTAAACTATTAATCTTGTAATTATTTATTAAAATATTTCAAAAAGAGGCTTTATCAAATCCTTATCGGGCTCAACCAATATTGGGCTTTTTGGGCCTGATACTATGCTTATCTTGGGCTTCGGTCAATTTCAAGCTTGTACCCCATGACAAAGATGGCCAAAAATCAATCTTAGGGTGGTCCTAAATCGGTTCCCTCGTAGGTTAGACTCCGTCACGGTTTCGATAAAAACTCGGATGGCTGATTCTATGCTTGGTAACTGGTTCCGGGCTCGTTGGGCCAATCCCGAAAATCCATGCATTTATTTAAATATTGAATATGTTGAAATTTTTGGAATTTTTTTTTGAAAATCTTGTATTATAATTAATAAAAACTTAAAAGAAGTTGAAAATCGGTCCAATACATAATCATCCCAGACCGGACTATGAAATTCAATAAATTTGTAGCGGTCCAGAACTGTCAGGGCAAAACCCGTCCCAATCAATCCCAATTCCCAAGTCGGGTCAGGCCCACACAACTAATATTTGTAACCACAGAATGTTAATGGTTTGAGAATTTAATGAGTTACTCAAACTTATACTTAGTAATTTTCGAGATCGAGTAAATACCAAGCACTAAGTAAAACTCATTTAACTTAACGAGTCAAATTTCATAACATCAATATTCGACTTAGGGACTGTTTGGCAATTGCTGAATGATTTAGTGCAGAATGATTAAGTGGTCTGAATGATTAAGAGGCTGTAATGATATAGTGCAAAATAAAATATAATTGTTTGGTAATTGTATACAATGAAATTAGGGCTCTTAATGGTTAAGGGAGATCCATGATACAAAATCATTCAGAGGGTTTTAGAATCATTAAGAGGTGGACTTGTTTTTTGCCAAACAAGATTCACCTCTTAACGATTCAGATGTTGCCTCTTAATTGAAGTATTAAGAGATACACAAACAACCCCTTAGCTTTTTTCGAAAGTTGAGCCATATTTTTTTAGCCGAACATATTTGTTCATAAAGCATAGAATCAAAATATCGATTCCGGCCATTAAAGAAGTTCACTCAACTCGAGTTCATAATTGAGCTTATAAAGCTTTACTACAGGTCAATAATGTATAACACAAAATTGTGAAACTCACATTAGAGCTCGAGCTCGAATACTGAAAATTGTTCGAGTTCAACTCTGATATTATTTTTGCAAGTCGATCCCAAACAATCTAATACTTCGACTCATAAACACCCCTAGTGCCTAGTGCACCATTGAATCACTTTCTCGTATGGATACGTTTGCATGTTCTCATTCTTAGTAGTATATAAATAGCACTCAACCACAAAGGTGGTGCCTGATTGGTTTGTGCTTGGCTCCAAAGGTCAAAAATACCAGGAGGTCTCAGGTTCAAATCCAAGAAGGAATAAAAATCGCCTTGTGGCCACGGAGGTTCAAATGAGGTGACTCCGGGCTATCTGCAAAGCAGGTGGTCACCCTGTGATTAGTCGGCTCGCATAGCGGGTTGAATATCCAGGTTAATAAAAAAATAGCACTCAGGAAGGCCCAATACTGTTGATACAACTTGTTCTATTTAGGAAAATGGCCAAAGATCGTTTTTTCGGTTTGTTTGAATCATGCGACGGTTTATAAATGATTATAATTCAAAAAAACGTTCGTTTGTGAAAAATCGGATACCAATTAGGACCAATAGAGATCATTCTGTTAAATGGGTTTGAAGTAATATCAAAATTTGGTTGCGAAGACCTACCTAAATCAAAATCGTGGTTATGTGAAAAGTATAATTTGGATCGATTATGAGACCAATTTATTAACCATAAATCACAATCTTGGTTTGCCTAGAGATAAGGGTGTTCATGGGTTGAGTTGATCGGGTTGAAGACATTTGAACAATCCAATCCAATGCTTGCGGTTTGAAAAATCTTAACTCAACCCAACCCAAACCAAACCGTACGGGTTGGTCGGGTTAATACTTTGGTACATCAAAATACTTTTCTAACCTTGAATATGTTATTTCTCTACTTATAATTTCTTTTTCATCATCAACCATTTGATACAACTTATCCATACTTCTTACGTATATCACATTCAATTAATTTTCTCAATTTGACATATATATGTTCACAGTTACCGAACATATATATGAATGAGTTGTATAGAGAATGAGAATAGATTGAAAATTTGTATATATGAAGAGGGTATATGATAGTGTAATTTTCTAATGTATATATTAATATAAACTCAACAATCATATTAAATTCAAGAAATAAAATGATATTTGATTCATCGGTTGGGATGAGTTCAAATAATA